ACACACACACACACACAAACTATACAGTATAATAAAAGCAGAACTCCGCCTGGTCAGTTTTATTTTAATCTGCATTTTATGTGTATTACTCAGCTAATCAAGACTTTGTGTTCACAGACGAATCAAACATTCTTTCAGTTTATTCTAACATTTATTTCTTCTGCAGTTTACAGTAAAATAATAAAAGTGTTGTATTAACACTCACCCTGCCGCCGCCTTCAGTTTCCCGCCTCGTGCTCTGTCGACTAATGGAGTTTAAACTGAGCACACAGCAGCAGGGTTCACTCCCAGTACTCATGGACTTGGATCATATAGTCAATGTAGCTCCACCCCTTTCCATTTACAGGACATAAGGTGAGTTTATCTGTGTGTGTGTGTGTGTGTGTGTGTGTGTGTGCGTGTGTTTATGAGCATATCTCTTGGCTTGAACAAGTTGAATTTGAAAAGGCTGTGGAGAAAATGTTGATACATTATAGTCTGTCTTTGGGTTACAGAGGATGCTGAATGCATTTCTGACATTTTCAACAAAATAAAATGGCCATTTTAACCGGAAGTGATTGATGAACAAAACAAACAAACACTAGGCGACCCACTCGCTATTCCCTTCTGCTGACCATCTGTGACTTCCCTATGTGAGGTATGTGACTGACATTACCTCTTTGTGCCTTTGGGTGCGCAGGTGACATAACAGCAATATTTTCACTCACAACATTGATTTTGTTAGCATTAACAACATATCCCATAAGCCTCATGGAATCTGCAGCTTTTTATTGTTAATAAATGTATCATTTAGTTTTACATTTGTCGCCATTTGGAGCAAAAAGTTTTAATAAAAATCAATGGGCACTACAAAACTGAAAAACACTCTGTTCCTCCATCTTGTCACAAAAGCTTGTCATAAAAACAGTCCTTAATTAGTTTTCCTTCCAGTCAAACTTTAATTTAATAAAAAACTACTTACTCACATCAGTCTCCTTTCTTTCTCTTATTGAAAAGCTTGAAAATGTGAAGTGTAGTGTCGTTTTTACTTCCTTGTTTTCAGCTGATCCTTCTGAACGGCAGTGGGGAAGAGGAACAGGAAATGTCACAATTTTTTAATTTCTATTTTAAAAATAACATTATTTTCTTAAAATGTCATTGAATAAATGAAAAGAATGGAGAACCAGAGAAAACAATAAACATATTTTTTTATTTTAGAAACAAACAGGAGAGACATTTCTAAATTTCTATAAGACTGACCAGATACAACATTTCTTTAATTCTTTAGTGTCAGCTCTTGCTCCACACTTCAAATCTAGTTTTATCACTTTAAATCAAGTTGAACTAAATGAAGTCAGTCAGAAAGAAAGTATTCACATCACCAGTTCAGTTTTCACTGCACATACAGGTGCATCTCAATAAATTAGAATATCATAACAAAGTTAATTTATTTCAGTAATTCAATTCAAAAAGTGAAACTCATATATTATATAGATTCATTACACACAGAGTGAAATATTTCAAGCCTTTATTTCTTTTAATTTTGATGATTATGGCTTACAGCTAACAAAACCCA